TCAAATACTATGTGTGTAAAGTAAAAGGGTGATAGTGTTGGGGAGCTGACAGGGAGGGAGGGCTGGTTGGTTCACAGGGAGCAGGAATACATGTGTCTTTTAGAAGGTGGGGGTTGGGGGGGGGTGGAGTGTGACAGGAGTCAGCGCTGGGACCTCAAGTCTTACAGTCGATGGTGGGAGCCCAGGTCCGCTCGCTAAATTTACCGAGGGCACAGAGAGAGGCTGGAAAGTGAGGACAGCACGGGGTTACAGAGGGGTACAGGGAGGTTCGGCGACACGGCAAAAGGTTTGGGAAATGGATGTGGGAAGGTGCGAAATTGCCCGTCCAGGCAGGAAGATTTTTAAAATAAAAGAGCGAGAGCTGTGATGGAAACGGTGAGGGGTTACGGAGCTGAGGTGCAGAGGGATCTGGGGGACTGAGGTTAGGTAGCACGGAATCAGGAAAGCATGTCAGACATTAGGGTTTATTGGGAGGGGGATTGGATATAAGAACAGGGAGGGTTACAGAGCTGAGGCGCAGAGGGATCTGGGGGACTGAGGTTAGGTAGCACGGAATCAGGAAAGCATGTCAGACATTAGGGTTTATTGGGAGAGGAATTGGATATCGGAACAGGGAGGGTTATATTTCAGGGCCATCGGAGAGGCTACGTCAGGAGTACTGTGTGCAGCATAAACGTCTGTGTTTAAGGAACAGTGTGATCTAAGGCAGTTCAGGGAAGATTTACGTTCTCGGGGCGGGGGTGTGAAGCAGGGGGTGTTCTCTGGGGAAAGGTCAGACCAGATGAGTGCCCACTGGAGTTTACAAACAGGTCAGAGGTGACTGGATTGAAGATCCTGTTGGGATTTGCTCAGGGTGAGTGGTGGCGCAGGGGCGGGTGGGGTGGGGGCAAACAGGGAGAGAATGTTCCGTCTCGTAGGAAGACGTTGGCCAAGGGTTTTGCTGCTCAAGAAGACGAGGGGGAGCCCGTTTAAAACAGAGACGAGGCCAGAAAGCAGTGGCTCAGGAAATCCCTCGCAGGCAGCGCCAGTGCTTAACTGCCCATCCCTTCGACTCAGGCGGCACGCTGCTGTTGGTGGGGAGTCACGTGTAGGTGAGGAGGGGGGGCAGTCCCCTTTCCTTCCCCGGAGGGGATTTGTGACGGGGTTAGGTTAGGTGGTTTGCGATGGCGGGATTGCTGATTGAATTTCAGATTCCACCGCGTGCCAGGCTGGGATTCAAACTCGGGACTTCAGCGAGGTGTCTGGTGGTGAGCCTGGCACTGAGACCGTG